ATTTTGAAATTGAAATACAATGCAGTTAGTATGATGCGCCGAGCCCGGTGCATGCAATACAGATGAATGATGCAAACATGCTGTCATACTGTATGCTAATTTAAACATGCCCTAATCTAACCATCATAAGCGGATAAATAAAAGGGAGAAAGACGTGGGGTTAGAAGACATACAACACACACACGCACACTTATTACAGTTGTGCCCTCGCGCAGAGGGTCCAAATAAATAATACAGTCCCGAATGAAAGAATATTACAGTCCAAAATATTACAAAATCCTAATTAATTAATGAATTAACTAAGAAAGCAAATAAAACTGGCGTGCAAGCCAGGGACTACCTTGCTCTGATGGATGATGCATGTCCGGGTTGCCTTGCGCGGAAATCCACCGGAATGCCCCAATTAGCCTCTGTTTAGCAGTTATTCTTGGAAAGCGTGCCGAGCTCTGAAAAGTTGCTGATTCTTCATTTTGCTGCAACAGAGAGCAGGAAGGGGGCATAGCAATGTATTTCACAAATATATGCGTGTCTCGATCCTCGTGCCACCAATCACGCATATCGATGCATGATGGCCGAGGAGTCGAAATGCATAACTCAATATAGGATGAATGCACATGAAAGTATAGCTAAAACCTAACTCCATCATGGATAATCCGGAGTGTCGGTGACTGGGGAATTGAGACACATTCCGTCACTCGGAGTACGAAATGTACCTCGTTTCCCGTGCCCGGGCTGACTCCTATTCCGAACACGATGCAATATGCATGATATGCATGAAATGCAACTAAGATACAATCCTAACATACACAATGCTATGGAATGAGATGCCTCGAAATGCGTGCACACGGGCACGCGAACCGAGAAAATGACAGAATGCGATCTAAGATACAACCTAGTATGCACTATGCTGTGAAAATGAGATGCCTCGAAATGCGTGCACACGGGTACGCAAACTGAGAAAATGACATATGCAATGTAATATGGCAAAAATGGCATGTGAAATGCAAAATGGGCTTATACCAACATGAGTGAGCCTCAGCCACACTCACATAAGATGCCGTCGGATAAAAATGGAGTGCCTCGAAATGCGTGCCCACGGGCATGCAAACCGAGGCAATGGCAAAAATGCGAACTATGGCATGAAAACATGATATGGACTTATACCAACATGAGTGAGCCTCAGCCACACTCACATAAGATGCCGTCGGATAAAAATGGAGTGCCTCGAAATGCGTGCCCACGGGCACGCAAACCGAGGCAATGGCAAAAATACGAACTATGGCATGAAAACATGGTATGGACTTATACCAACATGAGTGAGCCTCAGCCACACTCACATAAGATGCCGTCGGATAAAAATGGAGTGCCTCGAAATGCGTGCCCACTGGCACGCAAACCGAGGCAATGGCATAATGCGATGCAATGACATGAAAATGGAAAGCAATCATTCTAATGGAATTTCAGCACCAAAATATGGGGGAAAACAGCCCCGAAATGAGGCGAAATGACATCAAATGCATGGAATTGTCCCGAAATGCGAATTTAGGCACCCAAAATGGCCTATAGCTATGCCAAACATGCACAATATGGACATGCAATGCAAAGACAGAAGCTAGACAGTCCCAAAAAAGGCACTTTCACAGTTATAAACATGGCCAAACAGCAAGCATAGGTAGGGCAAAAATGGCATGCAAGAATAGGGACCAAGAGAGGGGTAATGAAGCAAGTGGTATAAGAAAAATCCAAACTGAAAAATTTCCTTCTACAACATTGAAGAGGGACCAAAAATATGAATGTTTACAGTATATGGATAACCTCAAATCAATATAAAAACATGCTAAAAAAAAGGTACAAGATTGAGGCTCAAAAGGTGCTATAACATGAAGTATACAAAATAATCATCAAACAGAAAAAAAAAATGTTAATGAAACATGAAGTATAGGCCAAAATAAGGCCACTTTCAGTTCGGACCAAGGTCCAAAAACAGAAGCAAAGGGGGCTGCCAATTTATGCAAAAAATGGGGCCAAATAAGGGATATAACTACAAGTGACACATGGAGGCACCAAATGGTGAGGGGCCCTTCAACAATGTTGAATAAGGGCCCAAAATAAGCACATTCACAGATTTCATCATGCTCAAAAACAGATTACTCATGGGCCAAAAATAGCATGCAAGATTATGACATATAAGAGGATCAATGAAGCAAGTACATCATGGAGGGCTCAAACAGGGTTGAGACCTTAATGAAAAGTGAAAATGAGCTCAAAAGAGGGCCCCTTTCAGTTAGGGCCGGAGCTTGAAACAATAAGCATATGGGGGTTACAAATGGATCAAGAAAAAGGGTCAAAAAGGAGAAATGTCACTCACCCTTGAAGACTAAAGCTTTTGTTGCTTCTTGGACCAATTTGCAGCTCCTTTAGCCTTTGAGAAGCCCTCCTTGTTGCTGGAAATGAAGTGGTAATGATAGAGCTTGGTGGTGTAGAAGAAATGGTGATTAGGGACTTGGAAGTTTTTTAGGAAATGAGAGGGATAGAGAGGGATTTGTGTATGGAAGCTTGAAGATGATTTTTTCTAACCCTAAACAATGATATGGAATGCTGGTTATAAGGGCCAAAAAGGGGGTGTAAAGGTGGGGGAAAAGGAGACAAACTCTCCCCCACAAAATATCCCCCGGATAAAGATATTTTCTGGGGGGTAAAGCCCTACAGCTGTAAAGTGAACAGTGCAAGGATCTCGGTCGGCCAGGTATTTTGGTTGCAGGTGGCCGGCCGGCCACACTCCCTAGCCGGCCGGCTAGGGGTCAAAAGGGTCAAGCAGATTTAGTGGCCGGCCACCAACTGATGATGTCCTCCTATGTGTGTACAACACAACCCTGTGGTTAAAAGTCCAAGAAAGTGGCTCGAGGGTGTTCAACATTAGCTCGGAAAGAGGGGGTCAAAAGGGTCAGGTGGAATAACTGGCCGGCCACCAACTTTTAGGGTCCTCCCAAGTGTGTACATCACAAATATGTGGTTCAAAGTTCAAGAAAGTGACCCCAAGGTGTTCAACATTAGCCCGGAAGTGTGAAAAACGGGCGCCGGAGGGCGTCGGAGGATGTATAACTGGCTGCTGCAACAATTACTGGCCTCCCACCCTTCAGTGACCTCCCTGGTGATAAAACAGAGGTACCTGTCAAAAATGAACGAAAACCGATGCAAAACGAATGTTCGGGGGCCAAAACACGCAGTTCGAGGTCCCGAAAATGGGCTGTTAAACACCGAAAGTGGCATTCGGCCACGAAGTGGGTTTCTCAGACCCCAGTGTCCCTCGAAAGGGAGTAAATAAGATGTATGCCAAAAATTAGAGCAAATGGAGATGGTTAGGCGGTCCCGAACCGAGGCACACGGCCAACGGTCCCGAAAAATCGGAAACCGGACTCCGAAATGGGCAAAATGGCCTACGGCCACCAAATGTAGCCCATGGCCACTGAGAGATGGTCTACTAGACCTCTCCCTCCCCTCAGGAAAAGAAACCGAGAAAATCGAGCCTGGTTCGCAAACCGAGGCAAAGTACAAAAGAAGGTTCAGAAGTTTGGAGGCAGGGCTCATGGCCGCAACTCTGAAACTTCTGAACGAGCACATTATGCAACATCACCAAGCGCTCAATCAGTGATGTCTGAGTCTTAAGGTCGGTCAAAAATGGGGTGTCTACACATATACTTTATTTTTGGAGCAAAAATTTATGGTAGATAGTATTTTTCAATGAAAAATTATGTTGTCATTTTTTCCTACATTAAAATGTATTTTTACTCATATTTATTAAAAAGTGTCTTGCATGTAATTTTTTGTCTTTTTCTTGTGCCTTAATAACACTGGTTAACAAGACCCTTAATGAAAAATAATGGCTCACAATTAAATCTACACCATATACTTTATTGACAGAGCAAAAATTCATGGTAGATAGTATTTTTCAATGAAAAATTATGTTGTCATTTTTTCCTAAACTAAAATGTATTTTTACTCATATTTATTCATGTGATTACACATCTTCTGCATTAGTTTTGCTTGCTTTAGTGTCATTAAAAGAAGGTTAGTGACACTACTACAAAAGTAGTTAAAGATCACACTTTGACAAAAAAAAAAAAAGATCTCACTTTTTTGGAAGTGTGATAAAAAAAATTAGATTGATATTTTAATCACACTGAATTTGATTGAGTGTGATAATATTTATTTTTTATGTCACTTTTCAATTTAGTGTGATTATATATATATTTTTTAATCACACTTTCTAATTAAAGTGTGATTATATATACACCACTACTTTTTAATCACACTTTTTAAACAAGTGTGATTATATATATATATATATATAACACATTGTATATATGTTTTAATCACACATTTTAATTAAAGTGTGATTATTTATATATTTTTTAATCACACCTTCTAATTAAAGTGTGATTATATATACACTATTACTTTTTAATCACACTTTTTAAATAAGTGTGATTATGTATATATGTTTTAATCACACATTTTAATTAAAGTGTGATTATTTATATATTTTTTAATCACACCTTCTAATTAAAATGTGATTATATATACATTATTACTTTTTAATCACACTCCCTAAATAAGTGTGATTGTATAAAATATTTCAATTTAATTTTTATATAAAATATACAATTCCGAAAACCCTTTCACTTTCTCTCCATCGTACCATCTCCTCTCTCTCTCTCTCTCCCTCTCTCAAGTCTCTGCAAAAACTCTTCAAACCCCTACCCTCTCTCTGCATCAGACGCCAAATCCCAAACCCTCCTCTCTTTCTTTTGCAAAAACTCTTCAAAACCCTCACTCTCTCTCTCTTCTTTAGACCCCAAATCCCAAACCCAAACCCAAACCCAAACCCAACCAGCATAACAATGAGTGAAAAGGAGAAGATGGACAAAGAAAACACACACAGACAAAGCTCTGAACCAGAAGAAAAGAACAAAGAAAGAGAAGTAACGACGAAGAGAGAAGATCGCTGAAAGGAGACGGAAGAGACGAACGCACGCAAAGAACACTTCCACCCGTCAACCAGGTTTGTAGATTCAAACTAGGGTTTTGATTTGGGGATTTTCACTAAAAAATCAAGGTTTTGATTGAGCAATTCCAAAATTATGTAAAATTAGTGAACCTTAAGGAACTCTAGTTTAACAAAAAAATTGGTAATGTTATTAATTTTCGCGAGTATCCAAAACACTGCGCACTGCAAACACTCATACAGCCCTAAAAGGGTCACCGTTCGATCGTGTTTGTAAGCTCTGAGCTCTGGTCATGGCTTCAAAGAAGAAACCAAACAAGGCAGAGCGACCTAGACAAGGCTTTGAACATCTCGACCGCTTCGATTCGCTTCCATGGAACTCTTCTCTCTCCGAAAGCGACGACCCTTTCTCTATCTCCATTGGCTCTAGAGAACTCGAGGGAGGTTCGATTTGTTTTCAATTTCAATTAAACAAAAATTTTGGGTTTTCATGCTGTTTTTCGTTATGGGTTTCTGCTAGTTTTTGTGCACATGCTTCAGAATTCTAAAAAGTTGAGTTCTTTTAGTTTCCTACATTTTCTCGGCAACCAAACAGGGGTTGATGTTGGAAATTTTAAGAGATGATGATGATATATATATATATATATATATATATATTTTGGTTGTGAATGCAGGTTTTCTATCGCTTGAAGAGATTGATGAATCTGAGTATGGTTTGGAAATTCCTAAACCTGAGAGAGAAAACAAGAAAGAAAGGACTAAAGAAAATAAAAATGAGAAAAAAGGAAGCAAAGTGAAGTTGAGGATGAGCTTGGTGGTGAGGTTGAAGCTGTAAGTGAAGAGAAAGAAGAAAAAGAAGAACAAGGATGCAAAGAATTCTGAGGAAAATGAAGAACCAACTGTTGGTTAGTGTTTTGAATTCTCTTCAATTTTTAATAATTTGAGTCAGAATTGTAATTCTGCTTATTTATTTTTTAGTAAATTTGTGGATTAGTATAAAATTTTGTTTGATTAGATTGAGGTTAAGGTTTCTTATAGATTTTGTTCTGAACATGTAATTGCTTTAGTATTTATCCATTTCTGTGCTAGATAAATCATAATTTGGTGTATTTTTGTGTCACACCCCAAACCTGCCCCTAAAAGTTTGGGCATGACCTATTTAGAAACGGACATGTAACCTGATAGCATAATATATGGGGCCTTATTGGAAGCACGAAATACAAAAAATACTGAGGCAAATAAACTCCGTTGAGCTACTTCTACATGCCAGGATCTCATACATCACATGCATCATAGTGGATAGATAAAGTCTCAAACTATAACCCAGAGCATTGGTTATATACATATACATATACAGTCCCAGCCCGGTAATTGGGCATACACAAAATATGAAAGTTATATACATCAACCTTAGATGGACACTCAAAAAAAAAACAAGCCAACATCTTAACAGCTTAACAAAATCAATGGCCTTGTATGGTGCCTGTACACACGGAGGTTGACAAAAGAAAGCGGCGTCGTGACTAGGACTGACCACCTGATTGGTGACCTACAGAAACAGACATAACAGAGAGTGAGCCGAGCGCAGTGAATAGTAATACATAAATACAACGATGCTTAACTTGAAACATATTCATATCAATGCATATAAGGATGCAGAGTTCACATAATTAGTCTGATTCTGTGCTAAGTACATGACGGCCTTAGGCCCAATCTTGCAACATAAACATAATGGCTAAGCCCTTGAAACGTATGGCGTAAACGCCCTTGAAACATGTGGCATTTAAGCCCTTGAAATCATATTGGCACGAGGCCCTTGAAACATATAGCTCGAGGCCCTTGAAACATATGGCATTAAAGCCCTTACATCATGAGAGTAGGCAAGGTGATCATACATTTACATTCCCTTAATCATTCGCATAAGTGCGTAATCAACATGTACAATAGAATGCTAATGGCATTCGTTAATTGTAAGTAAAACGTACTACTACTCACAGTGTTAAGATGACGTGTTACTTCCTCCCAGAGTGTGTCCTGCACACACGCAAAACTTGCACATTAGTTCTCTTTTCTTTCTTAAATCATTTCCTGAATCATTAGACTTTGCATGAATTTACAACCCTCTTAAAATCATCAGAAAATATTCTAAAAATACCAGTGAGTCAAGCACGCAAAACTAAGTGAACCACTTTTCTAGCCCGGGCCGAACGTGCGGCCGGACCCTCCGCTCGAGCGGCCAAGCACCGCACGTGTAGTCATCCCCCTCCGCTCGAGCGGCCGTAGACAGTAGGCATCTCCAGGTTTTTCTTCTTCCTCCGCTCGAGCGCCCAAGGCCTCCGCTCGAGCGGCCATGGCCCTGTTTTGGGGCAACTCGATTTCAACTCAATTTTAAGCATCATCATTTCATTTCTCATGCAATCCAAGATGAAATTAAGGCAATACTTGAACCCAACTTCACTATAACATAATTTATCATTGAAATATCACAAGGTAACATGATTAAAAGCTTGATCAAGTCATTATGCTTTCAAATTTCATCCTTTAATTTACATTCCTTATGCTCATAAAACATAACACATTGTATATATAATATATATTCCATGGAGTTGGCATAAAAACCAAAGATTGAAGTAGAATTTCATCCAACACTTAGATTAGGTTTCAAAACAACCAAAGGAGGAGTATACCCTCTTTAACCAAACATGAATCATACATAATTAGATCTTCCAACCCATGAACACAACTTGATTACACCTACTTGGAGCCTTATTTCTTTTAGCTTCATAAACATATCCAACCCACACACACACACACCATTTGAGTAAATAAGTGAATTCAAGCTTGAAGATAAAATTCTCCACTAGATAACCCAACTAATTTAACACAAGAGAAGACAATAACATGGAGAAGTTCTTACTCAACTTCAAGAGAGACAAATCAAAAGATCAAACATACCTTAAGCTTTAGAATCTTTACAACCCCTTTCCCTTCCTCACTTGCTCCCTTGAAGACCTCTTCTCTTCCTTCCAAACCCTTATTTCTCTCCAAGAGGTATTTCACATTTTTTATCAAGGCTCAAGAGGACTTAGGTGTACATATATTCATAAATAAAGGCATATAGGACAAAATTCAATCGTTTAATCATTCCGAAATTGAAATTTCATAAACATGCCTAATATTACTTAAAAATTATGCTGATCACAGATATATAATCAATTTTAGATAACTAGGCCGTTAAGGCTTCCAATTTCTGATTCAACCATTCTAGATGTAACAGATACTTTGCATGTTAAACAGATAGACATCCTTAAACATGGATTTCCCGTACTGAACCTTAATTTCTCATGGGATTTTACAGTAAACATTTAAAAGCACAAAACAAGGACTGAAAATATATCAGAAAACATGTACAAGGGTCGGGTTATTACATTTTGTCTCTCTACATATTAATGGTAATTTATTGATCTTTGGGTTGGGAATGCATTTAAGGTTGACAAGTTTTGATCTCTTTTTTCATATATAAATGATTTGGTAATATTTGATTCTGGTTCACTACAAATGTACTTGTTATGAGTCTACCACTTGTCAATTTCTGGGTCAATCTTAAAGTTAAGTTTATGAGATAGTGCAGACTGCTTCATAAAGTGATTAAATTTGTTAGATAGTTTGTATTTTGGATTCAGTTTGAACGAGTGTTTTTTTTTTTTTTACAAAATTAAATTGTGACAGAAGTCAGTGATCCCAAGGATGATATTGAAGGAGATTCAGTTGATGAAGCTTAATATTACGCTTGGAATGAACTGAGGCTACTTCCCCTGCTTATGAAAGCAATATATAGTCTTGGGTTTAAAGAACCAACACCAATACAAAAAGCTTGTATTCCTACAGCTGCTCATCAAGGAAAGGTTGATTTCATTTCTATAATGCTCTGTTTGGATCATTGCTTTGGGAAGGTATTTGGAAAGGAAAAGGAAAAGGAAATGTGAATGAAATGTAAGCTAATTTTTTTCTCCAATTCTATTGCCTTTTCTTTTCATTTTCCAAATCCCTACTCAAATCCATGATCCAAACACAACCTAAAGGTGCTAAATTGATAAACGGCAACATATGGCATGATAATCATCGTATTAAATTCGTGTGACAGGATGTCATTGGGGCTGCAAAGACAGGATCTGGGAAAACACTTGCTTTTGGTTTACCCATTTTTCAACGTCTTCTCGAAGAGCGAGAAAAAGCTGATAATATGTTTGCAGAAAAGGGAGAGGCTGCTGAAAAAATTGCTCCAAGTCGTCTCTTACGGGCTCTTATTATAACTCCTACAAGAGAGCTTGCACTTCAGGTACACATTGATTCGTTGGTTGTTTCCTTTTGTTTAGGGCTTAAATGATTTGATTTTCTGTTATGGTTTTTGTCTCCATTTTTTGTAAAGTTGGAAGCTCATGGGTTCTATAAAATAATATAATTTTGCAATTTGTGTTTGTTGTTATTGCATTTCTTTTAAGGCTGTTCTGGGAACTCAAACTTGGCCACCTGTTTTAATTCTGGCTGAATTTGACTGGTAAAATTTGATGAACAGCAAAAGAAGGTTGCTTCGGAGTTTCATGGTGCTTGATGACATGATGTTATGTTGTTGGCATCAAACAGACAGTAGGAGAACTACCTAGTAGTATTGTTTTACTGCTGCCGTATGACCATTGGGGGCTGTTTGAGAAACTCAACAAATGGGTCAATTGACTTTTCAAAATGGGTGATCTGATTTCAAGCTGCTGAACTTCTTGTTAAAAATGAAAATATCTGAATATGCTGCTAAGCTTATTTTGATAGACTTAGTTTCCTCATGGTTTTTAGACTAGCTGTTAGATTAGTGGTTTTTTCATCCTAATTGTTGATTCTGTTTTTAAGTGTTTTTTTTTTTTTTTTAGGTTACCGATCATCTTAATGAAGTGGCTAAAGGTACCAATTTTAGGGTGGTTCCAATTGTTGGTGGGATGTCAACGGAAAAACAAAAAAGACTTCTGAAAGCAAGGCCTAAGATTGTTGTTGGAACTCCAGGGAGGCTATGGGAACTTATGTATGGTGGAGAACTTCATCTTATTGAGGTTAGTGCTAATGCAAACTATAGACTGGTGTATATGTACAAAGGGCTCATGTCAGCACTCCATCAGCATTCAATAATAATCGTTACTTTATGTTGTGTTCACTAAACAAATTGTTCAATAATAGTTGCACTTATATTTTCTTAAATTCAATGTTTCTTATGGTAAGCCTCAGAGATTTAGTTGGACCTTCTTGAGTATCTGCAGAAAATGACTCCGTTACTTTGAAATATCTGGTTGATTCTCTACTTTTAGTATATAAGACTCGAAACTAATTATAAATTGGGCAAATTACACAAATAGTCCCTATAGTTTGGGACTTGTGTCACTTTGGTCCCTGACTTTTCAATTGCAACACATTTGACCCTGAATTTTGAATATTGTTCCAAATAAGGACAATTGAATATATAATTAGATTTTTCAAGGGTAAAATTGTTAATTTGACAAAATATAAACTAATTTGACAAAAATAAATGTCAAACAAATATTTTTGAATTTTTAAAAATTATTTCTACCTACTAAAAATAAAATTATGTAAAATTGATAAATCTTTTAGACATTTATTTATTTATTTTTACCAAATTAATTTTTATTGTGTGTTTGGATGATGATCATGTAAAATTAATTTTAAAAAATTAATCATGTAATTTTTATTAATTTTACATAATTTTATCATTGGTGGATAAAAATAATTTTAAAAAAATTAAAAATATTTTTTTGACATTTATTTTTGTCAAATTAATTTATATTTTATCAAATTGACGATTTTACCCTTGATAAATCTAATAATATTTTCAATTGTCCTTAGTTTTGTGGCACTTTCAAATGTCACTAAACTAAGAAAATGTTGTAGTGATCAGGGACTAAAGTGATACAAGTCCCAAACTATAGAGACTATTAATGTAATTAACCCTTACAAATTCTTCACACATGCATGCAGTAAAATTACCGTATCTTTTTTGGTGAAAGTAGTTAAGTGAACATGAGTTGCAAATGATAGTTTCCATTTGAGGATATTTATTTCCATGAGAAATACATTCTTGACTATGACACTTTGACATTGAAGTTTTCAAAATTTGGTAGGGACCACCCGTACTGCAGTGGTTGTTAAACAGTGTTACCAGAGGGTTAGAGTGCTTATTTTTATAAACAAGTAAAAAAATGGAACATAATTAAAATTACTTTTTTTATTTTATAAATTCTGTACAATACTTCTGTCAATAATGTTTTAGCTTTTGCAAGATAATGTATAAATGTCAAAGCCAAGGATGCTTACAGTATTGGAAGGATAATGCCAAAATGAAGGGAAAAAGGAACCAAAATAAAGATTCTAGGTCTACTAGACCAGTTAATCTTTGTTATAGGCATGTTTAAAGAATAGACAATATGAACAAAGATGGAAAACTTAGAGCAAGACATAAAAATTGGTATATTGCTAGGATTAATATTTGTATGTGTGCCGGCACATGTGCTTATGTGTGTATTGTGTGAGAGAGAGATTGTTTAAAGTGAGCTTCCACCTAATCCTGCTTGTGGCAGAGATGGAGTTCATTTGAGAGTTGCCTAGGCTTTGGGTTGAAAAATAAAGTCTGAGTGGGAAAAAATTTGAGAAGAACATTTTGTCCTGAATTGCGAAGGTAAGGTGCAATTACAAAGATGGGTCTATGCCATCTCTACCTACCTCTTGATGAAGTTGTCAAAATTAGTGATTTAAGTAACAAAGGATTTCTTTCAATTGGAGTTGGTAAATTTAAATTTGTGAAAGAGCATTTAGAATCAGCATTGAACATATGTTAAAAAAAGTTGAATTCTCATAGAAGGAATAGAAGTATGCTTGACAATCGAAATTGCAGTCCAAATTATGAATCAGGGAAACACCACAATTCATGTCGGATTTTCATGACATCTCAAAGCACTATTAGTAAAAGGCTCTAGAAGAGGAAGCCGCCCTTGTAGATCTGTAGGAACAATATCAACACCCACAACTCTGTAGATATCTTACGATGAATAATTCCCTGACTCTGCATCTTCTTTTTCACTAGTAACACCGACTAACCACAATGTGTTTGCATTGAATAAAATTTTCCAAGATTCGTCAAATTTTTTTGATGCTCTTGAAATGATGGAAACTAAAGGAGATTATGGTATACAAGAGTATATATCTAATCTTGATCCTCAGGATATGCCAGTGAATATGTATCTTGATTAAGAGTTAACTTTTAGAATGTAAATAAGGTTTTGAGAGAGTTGTTGGTCTTCGAAGTCGTCTTAGGTTTGATATTTTACACTGTAAAAATATTAGAGAGTTTTGCTTCTCATTTCTCAACTTTACTATGATGGTATGGCAAGTATTATCTAAAAATGATTTTCTCTCTTTGGCTCACGGTAATTGCTGGAAGTTGAATGAAGGTTGTTGCTTCTTGATCCTCTTGTGACTTGTCCCATCAAATTTATTAACATAATGTTTCTACAACTCCAAGGTTGTTTGTACAGTCGATCTTTATTTTTATTTTCATCTCTCTCTCTGAAGTATCTAAGTATCAAAGTCACTTATAGGTCATTCCATTACAGTTCTGTTTTCATTTTTCTTTTCGCTTTTCACTTCTATGAATTTATGCATTTGAAATACCTAGAATTTATTAGATTTGGAATCCATTGATGCCAAGTTTTAGCTGGTAATCTTTCTTATAGAACATCAAAACTTGAGTCTAATATTTTGGAATTTGTTTTAGAACAATTTCTCAGTTTTTTATCATTTAATTCCCAGTGAAATTTTAGTCTATGTTGTGTTTCTGCTGTACACACCAACAAAAAGCTCATGAAACTTAGTTTTCCAGGTCAAGTGACAAAGTTTGATAGTCCAGCAAGGTTATTAGATGACAAGTCTTCCATGTTTCTTAAGTTGGTGTCAGAGTACTCATATAGATCAACTAGTGCTCTTTGCATAACCATTTAGCCTTGTTTTATAGATGGAATCCTTCAATAATAGCTTGGTTCTTTCTTTCCTTTGATTACTTGAATTTCTAAATTCTAGGGCGTATTTGGTTTCTATTTTAGTCAACGGTCACTTCACCCCTCAGGAATTCAAGTTTCTTTTTTCATCAAAAATTGAGTATATATATATTTATTTATTTCTCAGTATGTATTTCTGGGTAATATGAAGTGTATTGAGTGAGAATTAGCTTGTTGTTGTAGTAGATGTATTGGTTAAATTATCAATTTTAGTGCTAAATCTGATTCTCTGGCCATTTCTATTGTTGTTTGTTATGTTTAGCCATTTGTTTATTTTGGTTACTTGGAACTTTAACTTGTTTATAAAATACTCTCTTTGGTTTATTTTCTGTCACTAGTTTGCTTTTTTAGATATGCCATTGATGTGTAAGTAATTGTAGGAACCCACATTTTATGTTCTCATCATGTTCATGAGCATTTGTGTGATTATGATTTGTTAAGCTTGCAAGTGTATGTTGTGATTTGTTTCGCTTGGGCTAACGTGATCCATGTCTTGTTTTGAAGCCTTGTGGTTTGTCTAAGTGTAGTATGCTTGCCTTGTTCCTCCCTTAATGTGAATCTTAGGTTACGCCTTGCTTGAGTTGCTAGCCGATGTTATTCCAATGCCGAGGTCATCCTTAGTCTAGTATTAGTATCTTGAAACCCCTTGTTGACCTCCGTCCTTGCCTTGACCACATTAGCCGAGATGTTACCTTGCACCCAAGTGATCTCGTCCTGGAGTGGTGTGACCTAGGCCGAGGTGTGGCGCATCTAGGCCAAGATGTGGCACAGCTTAGTCAAGTGTTGTCCTTCCTAGCCGAGGTCATTGTCACCTTAGTTGCCGAAGTCCTTTGCTAACCGATGTCATTCCTTTGCCGGAGTGCCATTCCGTGTAGCGTGTTAGATACGCCTTGTTGTCAGCCGATGTCATTGCCTCGTCAGAGAGCCCATACCGCTTTGCTTGTTGAACACCCTTCCACCATGCTTTGTCTGGCCTGTCAGCCACCTTTTCAGGGAGAACCCAGCCAGTCGCCGCCACGTGTCTCAGCAGAGGGTTAACCCCAGAACCGGGTATAGAAAACTATCATTTAGTATCATAACCTTGCCTTGTGGAGAGAGAAGCTCTAGGAGGAAGAAAGAGTTTTAGAGTGAGGAAGTAGATCTTCAAGCTTGGTTCCTAGAGATCCGACCGCTAGATTCGCGTTCTAAGGTTAGATTCTTGATCTGCTCATGATGTTCTCTATGTTTACGTTATTGCATTACATGATTGAAAATGATTTGTAAGCCATGCATCGTTTTGAAGTTCGATTTTTGAAAGAGAAAATGACATTCATGTGTTCTTCAAGAAAAGTCTTGTTTTGATCCGAAAGCTTGCATAAAGAATCATGTTTTTGTGTTTATTTCCGCAAGGATTCCAAGTACAGGTACCCAGGTCCATGTTTTCAAACTCATAGCACGAAAATCCCAGATTTGTGATGGCAGATTATGATTGAGCATTCATATTTTTCATGTTTTCACACTCATGTTTTTCATGTTCATCAACAGAGGGAAACCCAGAGTTTCCCGACCTCTTTTCCTTGCATGTGGCCCTCGGGAACACACCTCGGTGAGGGGTGTGGAACCTCGGCCTAGACCTGGTTGGTGCCCAGCATGTTCTCTGAAACCATTTGTGTACATACGAAACTTGTTTGAAAGTGCATTCAATAGGCTTTGCCATGTGTTTGTAGGACTTGGGCTTGTCTCGACCCCGACGTTTGAAGAGCTATGTGAGTGGTATTTTTAATAAAGCTATGTTATACTTGTTTTGATAAATCTCGTTTTGCTCGGTTTTGATAAAAAGTATTTGATCTCGGCATGAATGACTATCCCTACTTGTATATTAAGCACTATCTTGTTTTGATGACATTTCTTGAAAGTCCTTAGTTGCAGGGGACTATAATGCAACTGCACTCTTGTCTTGATATGTCATCGCACTTGTAATATGTAGATGTAATAACATCCAAGAACTTGACAGGCCGGCAATGAACTTGATTTCCCTCTTGATTGTAAAGTATGCTATGTATTGTTTTGAAAGAAATCTTGGATATCAATCATGCAAAACCTTTATTTCTAATATCATTCACTGAGTATCCAAGCTCACCCTCTCTATATATATGTAGGTGATGAACAAGAAGGCATTGAGGCCTAGACGTGATGCCGATGTATTTTTGGGTGCATTGCCGACATGTTTTGGATTAGCATTTTTGTGCCATCTTGAAGATCATGCTTCTCGGCTTATTTTCATTTGTACTTGTATATGTCGGCTTGAGAAGCCTTTTGGTCAGGATGTGTTTTGTATTTCATTTCCTTCTTGTATGTACGTTGTGAGACTTTATAAAGATGTATGTCACTTCATTGGACTTAAGCACGGCTCTCATGGACTATTAGATTCTGTTTATGTATCTATATTGCTTCCGCACTTATAAGCCCCACATTTTATACTCTGATTGTGTGTGATTTTGCAAGTCGGCCTTTGGTAATCTCGGATTACTGGCCATCACGGCACCGAACTACTAGGGGCGGTTTGGGGGCGTGACAGTAATGGCTTTGTGACATTAATTTCAAAGGTTGTTTCTTGTAGTGATTGATTTATCTTAATCTATTATGGTTTAATAGTATGGGAGGGTGATAATAGCTGACTATTTGCAAAAAAATTGTGCTCTAGGTAGTAATGTTAATGCCTGCCCTTTTTGTAAAAGTGAAGTTGAATCTAGCAACCATGTTTTGTTATTGTGCTCTAAGTCTGAGCTACTAAATTGGTGGGGGTTTTAGTGAGCAACTCCAGATTCACTTGAGGGTGTGCTCCAATGGTGGTCTGGAGTGAAGCTAAGTAAATTGGAAATGATTGCTAAATGTGTATATAAATACTGTCATCTTTATATATGGTAATCCAAACATTTTATACTAGTAACAATCAAAGTTATTCATTTTCTATTGATGCAGGAGATGAAGAGTCAGTGTAATGAGAAAATGTCCGATTTTGTCTTTTGTAAGACAAGAACAGTCTCTACAAAAATAGTAAGTTTATTCATATACTTCTAGCGGTTTCTGAATTAATTTGTGTTTTTATTTTTCAGGTCAGAAATTTCTTAGAGCGATGCAAAATATGGTCAAAGAATTCAAGAAATTAATTTTTTCAAGTTTTTTCATTTTTTAATATATGTAATCACAGTTAAAAACTTTTTATTAATTCTTTTGTATGTACTTTTGAACATGTAGCTTTCACTTATGAAATATATGACGTTATTCCATTCAATATATGGTTGTGATTCAAAATATAGTATATAGTGTGTATTACATTCTTCAAATGCGCGTACAAAAATAATATTATCACAGGTTTTATTAATTATTAATCACATTTCAAAGATGTGATCTAAATGTTAACATCACACTTAAAAGGTGTGATATAAATGTTATTAATCACACTTAAAAGGTGTGATCTAAATATTTTTAATCATACTTAAAAGGTGTGATTTAAATGTTATTAATCACACTTAAAAGGTGATTTAAATATTTTTAATCACAATTAAAAGGTGTGATCTAAATGTTATTAATCACACTTAAAAGGTGTGATTAAAAATGACTCTTTTTAATCACACTCTCAAAGATCATACTTTAATAAAATTTAAAAAATGTAATTAAATAACATATATCACACTAAAAAAGTGTAATCTTTATTTATTTTTGTAGTAGTGGGACCTCAAGTGAAAATCGTGGACCAGACCTCAAGTGATATTCCATTTTCAAAGTGGGAAGAAAAGAGTAGAAAAAACTATTCGAGCCAATGTTTGAATGACATGATGAGTTGGTTTACTATAATCTAATTATAAATTGAAAGTTGATAATAGGAGTTGAAACATCTGTTCCCCTCACTCTTCATAATTATTTTTTTAAATAAAAAAAAAATTTATATAAGTTATTTTTGTCACATATAATTTGTTAGCAGAACTTGTGGCAAACACTTTAACACATCATATATATATTATTAAAAGTAATATTTTTTTATGCTTAGTCGGTACATTATAAGGGTTTACTTTTTCTAAGAAAACTATGTCAGCATGTATTTTTTTTAATTACATATAGAGTTCTATACAAACTCAAACATAATTTAAACTATATTAACTTCACCTATTTCATATTGTCTCTATTTAACAAATATTTATTTTCTATATATTTTTCATTGTAAATTGTGATAATCCACAAACCAATACTAATTTTGTGTTTTATGTTTTTCTTCTTAATTTTTTTAAGGGTATTAGAATTTTTTTTAATGCTAAGTTGCCTTTTTTTTCTTTTTTTTTTCCGTGTATTATTCTATACCCAATACTAATTTTATATTATTGTCGTTTAAATTTTATAGTGATTCTATATCTAAAATTATAGTTCATTTCCTACATTATTTTATATAATCACAACTCACATGAGGAAACATATGTACAACAATAATACTCTTGAGGAACCTCTAAGGTTTGGATATACTGCTTGAGTTACTTTTTTAATTGTTGAACAATAAGTTCTTTTATATTTTGATATCATATTACAGATGATTAATAACTTCATACACTGAGATGTATTTATCGTTTGGATATTTTTGTAATGCCCCGTCTTTTATTATCCGAATTCATTACCAAATCCTTACATTATTTCCATTTTAAAAGATTGCATCATTCAAGAAAATGAACCAAAATAAATAGTAACATTCTCTCACGACAATGATGATGATATACATATAAGACACGATACAATACCCTTAGGCTTACAATGAATAACAATAAATAAAAACAAAAAGGGATTTACCCTTATACAATACAAGGCTCTCGGCCAATAAATAAAACGCCCCGTGACCAGCAAAGTAAAAGACATCAGTGCCGAATAATCTTCCAACCTTGTACTTGAAAATTTTTGCAATACGTGGGATGAGTATTAAGCCCAGTAGAGGTTTTGAAGATCCTAAACAATCAATATATATATATATATATATATATAAATGATCATGAATGCACCATGATATACCATATAAGTAGTGTGACATTTAATATCCAAAAAAGTATACTCATATAAATATGTTTTTTCTCAAAAGGCTCTTCTTTACTCAACACAGTATAAAAACCATTACTTCTCTTAGAAATTCTCATTTAGCTTCCAACACATATTTCAAAACCCCATTCTTCTCGTTTAGCTTACTACACTATACTCATCTACACATTAATACATCAACTATCTTCCCTAGCCATAGGTCCAAGGACTAAAAGACAACCATAACACGAAAAAAAACAATCATGCACATATCTAAAAATAAATAACCAAGAATAATACATATGACCAATTTCATCTCCACCGGCATACAATATAGATGGCAGATTCCACAACACAGATAACACATAATACTTTACCGGCCTCACTTGGAAGGGAGTGCCCCTCAGGTCATACTTTACCGGGTGCAAACTGAAAGGGACAAAGAACCTATCACAAGGCGCAACGCTTTGCCAGCTCAGATATGACGGGAAACAGGCTCCCTTTCACACTTTACCAGGCGCAAACCGGAAGGGACGAGGAAACCTTTGTCAAGGCACCACGCTTTGCCAACTCAATACGGTGGGAAACAGACCCCCAAACAACATCATATTAAAACCATAACAAGCAAACCAACATTAATAATACATCCAATTTTCACAATCCCAACTATTAACAATTAAATATGTTAACCCACTTCCTTCAAAATGTGCTCCACGCACTGACGTTCAACAACAGGTTTTCTTTTATTTTTAAAATGTTTCCCAAAACACAATACGAATTACTAAACACTAAAATCATACTATCCAACAACAATCTCATAACATAACAACATTTATATACGTTCCAATTACCATTTGAACAACATTTTCCATAACTCAACAATGAAATTATCTATTCACAATGTCCATTTACAATCAATAACATACCATCCTACATTACATTGCTCACCCTACAGTAGTATTCATAACCTATATCTAATAACAAGCAATACCATCCTCTACCTATAGCCAAGGACACAACTCTAGACACCAATCTCATGATCCAAAACACTAATTAAGTACAACTAAATTCCCGCTCTCTAGTTTATAAAAAAGTTACAAAATATCCATTTGTTTTGAATCATAACTCCAAAGTCCTCACATTTTCAACACACCCAGATACTCATTTATTATCATTCCCCCAAAAAACCCCAAGCTGTTTCTAATAGGCACAACTCACCATTTACATAACATTACTCATCTTTTCTATCCATAAACCCTTAGTTAGAAGCCAAGGCTTCCTAGCCCGACATCTCAACATAATAACAACCAACAACCCACAAAACCAAATCACAAACTGACCAACTCAAGCCCAAACCAACCCAAACATGTTTTATGAGTTTAAACATGAAAATCATACTTTTAAATGCAATAAAAAATACCACAGGTTTATCATCTATAGCAAAGTATTGAAAAAAAGCTCAAGAATCCCTACATCTTGGAGCAAAGAGAAGAAAATTCAAAAATTCACTGGCGACGAAAACACCATCCACTCAGATTAAATGGAAGCCCTAGGCAAACTCTACCCTTTTTCCCAAAGGGCCATAGTTGAGAAACCACTAGATCAAGGTGTATTTGTAAAAAGACTGAGAGTTTTAGAGAGAGAAACTCTAGATCTAAGGTTTGTAAAATGTTTAGAGAGAGAGAGAGAGAAAGAGAGAGAGATTAAAAAGTGATCCAAAAAGTGACTTTTTCGAACTGATATACGTATAGACCGCTCGAGCTCAAAAAGTGTTGTTCGAGCGTCCAAACACAAAAAGTGTGACCGCTCGAGCGCAGGATGTGACCGCTCGAGCGTAGAATACAAACTCCCAGAAGTTTTGCAGATAGAAGACCACGGCTAGAGCTCAAGAAGTATCACTCGAGCGCAACACTACTCGAGCACAGGAAACACCACTTGAGCGAAGAATGCACCCTCCTAATAGTTTTGCAGACCTACAAAAGTACTGAGAGTTTTCAAATACCACTCGAGCATAGAAAGCTTCACTCGAGCGTAGAGACAAAAATTTAGACAACAACAGTTTCGAAAAGCAAGCCACCAACCTATTCTAACCGCAACCAAGACGCTCTGATAACAAAACTCAATGAAGAATAAGGAGAAACAAGACAAGACAACCATTCAAGACAAGGAACCCGGATCCAAAACACCATATGGGTCGGGTCTAAATTGGGATCGTTATAGTTTTCATTATTTTTTATTTTAGGGTTTAGATGTTGTTATGTGATTCTTTCTTGATTAGTTGTTGTTGAAATTCTTTTATATAGTCAATATTTTAATTTAATTAAGAGTGTTTATTTTACAATCTTATAATTTCATATATACATTATATAAAATCATTATATGATAATCCAATTACAACATATTTATATTTAATTTTTTAAATAAATTTTATATAATTTCTATTTCTACATATTTTTATTTTCCAAATGAATATAAAAGAAAATTAAATACTTAGAATTACTTTTAATTTTATGTTACTAATTCTTCTTATAATTTAACTATTATTTTTAATATCAAAGTGAGTATTTATTTGACTATTTTATAATTTAATACATATCATACAAAATTGTTGTATGATAATTACACTTTTATAATACGATAGAGTTAAAATTATCAAAATACATAAATAATTTAACTAAAATTAATATATATACATATATATATATATAAGTATTCAAGTAATCTTAGCTCTTTGCTTTGATCTGACCAATAATTTTAAGAATTTTATGATTTCCCATTTTATTTTTCGAAACATGTAATATTATTGGCATGCAGAAAAACTAGATGGTTATATAAAGAGGGGAAGGGACATGGGTGTTGACAAACAACAATTTTATGATTATTTGTCAAAAAAAAAAAAAAAAAAAAAAACACAAGTCAAAAACGTTCGTTTAGCTTATAGAAAATTTATTTATTTTCAACTCATTTAAATTATTTTTGCTTAGGAGTTGTTTGGCATATGTTAAAGTAACATGTCTTTTTATCTTTTTATTTTATTTGGTTCACATTACCTATTATTATTATTATTATTTTATCAACAAAAGAAATTTATTTATGAAAATCAAATGTACAGAATACAAAGATGAACATCAATAAAGGGAGGCGAATGCCTAGGCAAACTGGACTATTTCAACTAGGTTAGGATCGGAAAGCAAGCCAATCATCTACTAGCACTACACCAAATCTAGAGAGAAACCAGCC